GAGTTTCAAGAAGACATTTCTGAAGAATACACAACAGATTGGTATTAGATAACAAAATACAGATTCTCTGGTGTCCTGAAGTGTTAGGGATTACAGGATTCCTGCAAGTTTTTTCTTTTCACTGTGTACTTCTTATTTTAATACTTAGTGTTGAGAGGAATGTAATAATAGACTATTCCTCTTTTATTTCCTGCTTTACCTCTTGAGTTCTGTACTATATTGTATTAGTGATGTTTGGATATTTCATTATTGTATAAGCAAGAATTTGCCTTTGAAACTTCAGTGAGTTCTGTTTTGTGTTCCACAGACCGTCCAGATGTTGCAGGGTAAAGAGAGATTGAAGTTCCTGTTCTAGAGTCCTTACATTACTCATGGTCGTGGATGTAGTAACTGTGGCCCTCCTCTCTAATGTGAACAGCCTTGCCATTTCCCCACGTTTCTTCAATAATGCTGGGACATCGCTTCAGTGCAGTTGTAGAGGAAACGGTGCCACTCACTGGGTTATCAGTATTGTCCGTTTCTTACATAGCCCTGGTCCTGGAAGGTGTGCTGAGCCCCTTTGCAGTTGTCACGGCTTAATTCTGATGGGATTTTCTCAATGCCTATACTTTCCCTGCAGTTTTATTATGTTGCTAAATCCTTCTTAAAATTTCCAGGGTGTGTGTGTCCCCTCTCCCCCTTTTTCTGTCCTTAGTGTGAATGCTTAAAGTTTGACTGCAACAGGGCAGTCAGAGCTCTTCTGGGGCAGCTTGCTAGCAGTGGAGAGCAAGCATTTTTACAGTTATCTTTAAGTGGATTTTATCTGCAGTTTCTCTGATTCCCGCCTCAAAAAGGCACTGTATGCTTTTGTTCAGCTCAGTGGCTGGATTTTTCTTTTCTTTTTTTTTTTTTTTTTAAAGATTTAAAGATACGCAGTGACTATTCCATGTTTTGCCTCCCTCCTTCCTTTAACTAGGTTGGTGGTTATTTTTAACTTTCTATTAAGTGCTTAGCCTAGCTGCTAGCATATGACTTCACATTTCTCAATCTTAAGCAAACAGTAAGTTATTATAGATTAAAAGATTCTTTCCTTCCAGACAGAGAGAAGTTATAGTAGGTGTGTGGCAGTCACATCAGTGGGCCAAATGCATTGGAATAATAAACAGAGCGAGTAAGCTTCTCCCCATGGCCTGGTTAAAAAAAAGGCAATCATTCACATACGTATACACTTTTTTTCCTCCCTTAGATACTAGTTGCTGTGAGTTTGGGTATCTGTCTGTCTATGTTCATACCTCTCTTCAAGCATAGGAAGTTTCTCAAAACAGGTGTTCTCTCCCATGACAATGTAGCGAAGACTCTAATCTGAATCTTGACCTAAACTCAGTTGTTGTCTCTCTGGCTCTGAATAATCAGGTTGCATTCAGCTTTGTTAGATGGGAATACAGCAAAAAAACTTGCATCCGAGACTATATCAAATGTGTTTATATAGCATGGGAGGGTATTAAATTTCTTTTTCTTTTTAATTTTAATGTAACTCTAACCTGATTGGCTCAGGCTCTGCTTTTTGTACACACTTGATGTGTGCAAGTTCAGCTCGATATGTCTGTCGCTTAGCAAAGGAAAAATGTGTTTCTCTGCTAGCAGGATAAAAATGGAGTTTAGGATTCTGTTCTCTTCTGATGCCTTTTCTGTGATTTTTGGGGATGTTATGAATTGTAAGGTTAGGTATGTGTTTTGGGGCAATAGAACAGAAAACAAGCCTTGATTTTAAAATCATATGTATATTACAGTAGGGGAATAGTGTACTCTTGCATAAATACCTCACTGCTTGGTGTAGCGTGGGACTCTGGAGCTTCTGGCAAAATGTAAATATTTGCATTTTAGTGGCAGGTCTATGAGTTGCCATAAAACATATAAATTCTTTAAGTGTCTTGGAAGATCTTACCCAGAATCTACATAAGATTATTTAAGCAGCACAGTGATGATTGTTAAGGGATTGGATATAACTAAAATGCGAGGCTGGTATACAGTTATGCTGGTTTTGTTCTAGAGGACTCCTTTGGTTAGTAGGCAATGATGGAAGGTTCTGACCTAAAACTTGCTATGGGAAATAGAAAATAAAAGTCCAGCTTTACTTGTGTACTTTGCAAAACTTGAAAGAACGAGGAGAGTGTCATTAGAGTCCCAAACAGATTACAAGCTTAGTTTCTCAACTTTCATTTCCAGCATTAAATGGTCATTTTGGCATTCTTCAGCTCAAAACTTCTGCTATAGGGTGAATCTGTTGTTTCGATTGTAGGTGTTTTTTGGGTTGTTTTTGTTAGTTGGTGGAGTTGTTTGCTTTAGTGGTGTTTGTTTTTTTTTTTTTGCTTTGGTGTTTCTTTTTTTTTTATGGAGATGCTTGTATTTAATAGTGGCTTTGATGGTGTTATTAGTATATAAATGATTCCACATAAAGTCAGCTAAAACATGACCATTTGATTTCAAATCATGTAAGATTGAATACCTGTGTTTAAAACTGATTTGGGTCAAATGAAAATTTTCACCAAAAACGTAAGTGCTGTATTCCCAGAACTCTCAGCACCTTGGTTAACTCTGTTTTTAAAAATATATCTAAAGACTTCCCTTGAAATGTGTTGATAATAAGGAATTACAGAGGTGGACAACAAAGCAGGTTTGATTCAGTCCAAACTGTGTATGTGTGTGGCTTGGAATATTGCAAGGGGTGGGGTGGGATGTGCACAGTCAGTTTGATTCCAGTAACTTAATTCAGAGAAAAACAGCTCTTGGGATCACTGCTAATCATAACTGGGGGTATATTGCCAGGAGACAACCCACAAGTTCTGTTCACTATGTTAGTTGCTTAGAGATGGTGAGACTCTTACCAGTTCGTGTGGATTTAATAGCTCATTTCAACTTGCAATACCTGTACGCATCTGATCAATAATGTAGTTTAATGAAAGAAGATTCAGACTCTAGATGTTAACATTATATTAAACTTAGGTAGTAAAAATGTTATTTGAAGAGTTTTACGCTTCAGTCCTTGAATTTGACTGACACTGCTCACCGATTTGAATGATGTGTCAGATAAGACAACAGGTACTTGTACTCAGGCAAAATACTCTTTCTCAGACATTCACAAAGCAAAAACTTACGGTCAGCAAGATCTAAAAGGAATGAAAAATTAATTAAACTTCCAGTTGAAATTAATTTTTTAACAAGTTGCAGTAATTACATAATATTAAGAAATTAATGAGTTTCTTTTATTGGAAAATATATGCATATTTGATTTTGGCCCTGCAGAGCTTGAGTTTGGTTATATAATTGTAATTATACCTTGCTTCAGATACTACCATTACAGCGTTGAGTGATAGCAGAGTAGATCTTCTCCATTGTTGTTTCAGTAAGTCTATTTAGAATTACCACATTGCGTGTTCCCTTGCATTGCTTGCACTGTGATGGTCAGGTTCCTTCCCAATATGGCAGCTTCAGAAAAAGGTCTGAAGCCTGTATTGAAGAAAATTTTGTTTCGATGCTCATCTGTTGCTTTAACAGTTGAGACTGTCAACAGAAGTAGCAATAGTGGAGATAGTGTGCATTAGTTACGGTATTAATACAGATTAATAAATCTACTCAGAACTGAAGTGACACCCCTAGTTTATTTCGCATATGCAGTTGTTTATATAGCGTCTTAAATTTTAGCCACTTCTGATCTAAGAAGTGGTATTTCAACCGACAGTTTGAGGCACTGCATGTCCCCTTAGTTAGTACTCTGGTTTACCCAGTTCTCAGTGATCAGTTCTCTGGGTTTATTTTAAGGGCCGTTACTTCTAAGCAGCTACTTGAGATGTGCCTGCCAGAAGATGAAGGGACATTATGTTTTGATTCTGTAGACCAGCAGATCAGATGAGTTACAGGAGACATAACTTTCCATCTGTTTCCCATCCTCATCGCAGCAAACAGGAATCTTTTCTGATTTCTTCCAGAAGAATTGCACTCTAAGATACAAAAAATAGCTTATTGGCTTCATGCTTTCAGATTCAAAATTACTCAGTGGATGACATTGTTCAAGAGACAGAAACCTGGAGTAGGAATGTCTGAAATCTAAGTTGCAATGGGCACACAAACTGTTGCGTACTTCATGTTTCTTCAAGCCAAAATTTGAGCATGGAAATTTCTGTCGTGGTGTCCTGTGTAGATGCAGACCTGTTTTGGGTAGGATGTGAAACTAAGTCTTCCCGTTGGAGAATCTTGGGCAGCCAGCAGAACAGAGAATTGTACTGGCTTCATGTTCAGAAAGAAGAAATTAGAGACAGACAGAGATGTGATTAATCCACCTGCTGCTGCACTAGTCAGAAAAGCAAGTTCTACCTTGTTAATAAGGGCTGGATGCTCGACCTAACAAAATTATCTGTTTCAAAAACTTCATCAGATTTAAAGGGACAAGGTGCCTGGGGTATGCATTCACTGTATCAGGATGTGCTGCATCAAGCTGTTGTTTTAACCTGTTTGAAAGTTAACTATAGTCTCAATGGACAGGAATGCAAAGTAAATACGTATTTTTATATATTCTTACACTGCTCCTGTGGATTTCACAAGCACGTATATAAATGGAGATTCAGTCTAATCTGTCCTCGCTCTTGGTTTGCCTACCAATGAGCAGAACCTCACTGCAGCCCTGAAGGATAGGTCTGATAAAGCTGTAGTGTGATTTGAATGCTGTTGCTTGACAGTTGAAATTAAAGAATGTAGTTTAGCAGAGCTTAGGAGCCAGGACCTAACTGTATATTGGGTTTCCCTGAGCTGGGATACAACTTGGTTTTGTCTATTTTTCAATGCAAGAAAGCATTCTATGATAATACATAGTGTTGTAAATTCAAGTTTTCTAGGAAAATGACAGCAGAAATTAAAAAAAAAAATACTAGTTTATGATTTGTTTTCCTTGTTTTTTTTTTTGTGTAAAAGAATAAGTGTTTCACTTTAACACTGTTAAGTAATGACTCTTCTCTTTTCTCTTGTAGGTTGTCTTAGTCTTCGCTCTTAGTATTGGTGCTCTTGTAATATACTTCATAGATTCGTCAAAGTGAGTATTCTCGTACGTTTTCCTTTCCCTGCTTTCCTGCAGCAATTATACATCTTTAAATTGCTCCATTCATCTACTTCAAATCAGTGCTTGGTCTCATCGCCTGAATGCAAAGAACTTTGTGATAGTGCATGGGCTACCAAAATAACTCAAGAACGGGAAAAAGATCTTGTATAAACTAGACTGAACACAATCACATTGGATCTGTAGAATGAATAGAGAGAAAAACTACTTTTGTGTGTTGAGATTATGCATACTGTTGCAAAATTGTAGTTTTTATTTTCATTAGGCATATGTGGAATCTTTCAAATTCAAGATGAGAATAAGAAATATAAGGGAAGAGTGTATGCCAAAAAATTACAGTTTGCAGGAGCAAAAAAAGTGCCTTTGGAGACTGACAAGAACACTTCTGAAAAACTCTGAATGAATTAGTCAGTGTGAACGTTATACCTTGCATATCTCTTTGTATTTCCAGCTCCTGGGTTTGATAGATTTCTCCCAAGGTAAAGTGAGCAAAGCATCTCAGTGTTTTTTCGATTTTGGCCAGGCAATAGTAGATTTTGTCCTGACCTTTTGGGGTGTGTAATGGTTTGATACAAACCAGTATAAATAGGAATATATTCTCTTTGATATCATTCAGACTCCATCCTTGCTTTCATATTAAGCCGGACACTGTCAGTGGTGTAACAGGCAAATTGGTAGCCTAATGCAGAAGAAACCAATAAAAAGGGACTTAATAGAATATTATTCTGTTGAATCCAATTATTTTGGGAGGATGATATTCTGAAATATCAATAGCATTTCAAAGCTCTAGGACTACTGGTTTTCTCCAAACTAGTTTTAGGCTTGCCATTACTGCAACGGTGAAGATGGTATGGTGGAGCCACCTAGCTGCCTGTGGTTATGTTCTGAACCAATCCTGATGTGATGTGGAAAATCGGACATTTCGCTGTTGACACCTGTACGTACTGATATTTAGGTAGATGGTAGCACCAGCAAAAGGCATTCTTGAATATATGAATGTCAGCTCTGTATTCTGTGAGTTTCGAGCCATACTTTTGTAGCCTAGATAGCACAAATAGTCAAAAGTATCAGATAGAATAAAACCTGTTTCCACTTACATTTCAATTTCAGACCAACAAAATACAACTATTTGTTGGGGCATGTGTATTTTGTGAAACTATTAGATTATACAGTGATTTTTAGGCACTTCATGCTAGTAGCCTTTATTCAATTGTGTTCCTCGAGAACAGCAAAACTGATGACACTGGAGATGTCTCTGGGATGCTTAAGCTTTCTGTGGGCCACCTAATCCATGTACAACTACCAGCTTATGGGCTACTCTGTCGACGGGGATAGAAAAGTGTTTTAACTTCAGGTTTCTCTGGGTTTTTAGCGAACTTTTAATTTCCAGCTGCAGTTTAAATTCAACAGCCTCAAGTTAATATACTCTCCTTTATAATCTCCTTATCTCTTACTCTACTTTCTTCCCACATGTATGTCTTTGTCCCCCCTTTTTTTTTTTTGGTAAATACTCATTAGTAGTTTAATTCAGGTTAGAAACTCCCAGAATGTACCCCTGAAGTGAACCATTCTGCTTTATTCTGTATTAGCTGATCTGACATCCATTTCAGCAATGTAGAATTAAATGCAGTGAAATACCAGTCTATTTAAGATCCCCAAGTTCATGATTAGTAAAATTATTTCCATTTAGAATTTGTTTAAACAGGAAATAGTGAAGGTAGAGTGAGAGGAAGGCGTGTGATAGCTTCAACACAACTGGAACAGAGACTTCGGCTTGGGCAGGAGTAGGGGAGACAAGCAGGATCTAGTGTGCACACTGGACAGACAGTGACATATACCATTGCATGATGTCCCTGACAACACGTTCTGTAGCTGTTGTATTCTGCCTCTGCCATGGACACTTAGCTGTCATTTGATCTTACGCATAGAGTGACAAAAATCATGTCTTCAGTCCAAAGCTGAAGTGTAAGCATTTTTCTGAAACAACATAGCAGTGATCTATTCATCCAAAACTTTATCTGTCAGGAGTTTTGCAGACGCGATGGCAGGTATGTCCACGAAGGAATCCTACATGACTTTGTGCATAAGGGGCATCAAGAAAGGTGGGAATAACACCACCACTTTCTTGGATGGTGGAGGATGGGGGAAGAGTGGAAAGACCACTGAGTTCTGTCAGGCGAGGATGTGTGTCATTATTAGTTCTAGTGGGAGACACAGAGGAAGCCAATAAGGCTCATACTGAAGACAACTACCTGTTGCTCCCTCTGCTATATCCATGGTATAGGGAATGTGACTGGAGGCTGAATAAATGCCATCACAGCTGTGAGAGGGGTGTAAACTTAGAGCATTTCTATGCTACCAACCTCATCACGCTAGCAGGTGCTCTTCCAGACTACTACCGCATGAAGTGGTATGCCCAGTGCAATGCTATTTGGAGACATCTGAGGTCAGAAAATAGTGTAGCTTCATCAACAGAGTACCCTTCATACCAGTTAATCATACACCTCAGCAGAGCCAATTAAGCAGCTTTATGTTGCTATACAATATGTCGCTACTAATTCTGGTTCTGGCACAAACTTAGGGATCTCTGCACCATACTCCATTACAAAATACGGGCATGGCTGTGGGCCAGTATGACTACTTTAATCTGAAGTGACTTTTCTTAGTAAAAAGCAGTACTTAACTTGCCTTTTAAGAAAGGTTCTAAACAAAATCACAAAAATAATCATTCTTGATGGAAAGAATGAAGGTTATTAATTTTGAAAACCATAGGGGTTGTTCTAGTACCCTTCATTAAGATTATTTTATTGTTTATTCACTGCTTCTACGTTTTACAAGCCACCAACCTGAATCACTGTCTCCTGGTACCACAAGATGTATATAGAAAATTTTTCCTTGAAGTGGATATGTACTCTTTCAGTGATGCATGGTAGCAGCTAATGGAAGGTTTCAGTTCTTAAACTGGGAATTTATTTAGCAGAGAAATGACTATCTTGGCATCCCTGTCAATTAAATCCAGTCACATCCTGGCAGGAAATGTTTCACTTATTACTAAGGACTAGACTCCTTCCTTCCTGTATTTGTAGAATCTCATTCATAAAATACTGTTTTCTTGGACAATGATATTTTTGAATACTGGAAGTAGCAGTTGACATGAAACATTTGCCATAGAGATATTATATATATATGTGTGTCACCCAAGTAATTATTTGGGTAACAAATAATCAAATAATAACACTTGTTTTCAGACATTCGTTCACTTCAAAGTCTGTCTTTTAGTTTGAATAAAAGCAAAGCATTCAAAGAAAAAGTCATAAGCAGTTATTTAAAAGAGTTTTGATTAAGAAAGTGATCTACTTCAGTACAGAATAGCATCATATATCCTAATGATGGTTCTTTTACAATGCATGTTTCCTTTAAAATTGTTTGTCATTTAATTCTTCAAGGTAAGAAAATAATGGAATTTTCCTTCATTCCTAAGAGGAAAATCTGACTTGGTGTGTACTCTTTAGATGGTTCGCTAGAGTCTGCTGAATGTGCCGCAGTGGAACGGAGAGGCTGATGTCTGCCAGTGCTTTTTAATTTTCCATGATTTTTCTGTACATGGTTTTCACGATCTTCCTCCTTGCTGTGCCCACCTCTGTTTATTTTTCTGCATGTAAAAGGTGTTTTAGCAGATACATATAGAAGTACTTCTCTGAGTTTTATTTACATCAGCATTAAAGATTAAATGCTCATTTTCATTGCCATTTGACATCCTGACTTCTGCATATCGTACTGAATTAGTGACTCAAATAGAGTAGAAAATATTTGCTTGCCATGCTCATCTTTAGGCATGGTCAGTAAAAGCATTAGCAGAGAACTGAATTTTCAACTAAACTGGTAACTCGGGACTCACGTTTTCTATTTTTTGTAATGGCAGTAGCATGGAAACTGTTTAGGACGTGAATAGCCCTTTCTGTTCTGTTTCTGTTTTCAGAGGTGCAATGCAATGTAATATGCAACCGTAGATAGGAGTTGTGCTTTTCGGGCTCAGAAATTTCATTTTTTTTGCCAAAGAACTTGCTTTCTAATGACCAGTTGTTACTGTCCTGTCTCTTGAATTTTACCTCATTTACTGATGTCAGTTCGCTAAAAACTGATATCCGTGTAGAATTAATAGAGCCCATCAGTGCCAAGGTGAAAACGTAAAAGCTCTCCCAGCTTGCTTTGTGTTCTACTCACACGTGTTTTTCAGATTAGTTTTTTGAGTTGCTTGTATTTTCAGAGGCGCCAGTGTAGTTATTCCTCAACGGCTACTTTTTTCCTATACTGTGTCATGTATTGTGCTTGATTAGAATTGTACGTAAAAGTGCCATCTGGCAATGAGTGTAAAACAGCTGGATCTAAGAATAACAGTGGCACTGGGGATAGGAAGATTTATACAAATATACACACAGACATATAGGCTGATGCTGAGCCCTGAGCTTGTGCTCAGCTGTTGCGTTCTTAATCAGACAGCTTTATTTCCTTTTCTATGTGGAAAATAAAAAAAGCTAAACTTGGAGACAACTCTACTTTTTTTTTATGTTCTATTTATCTTTGTATGTCTGAGATTTTTAGAAGTACGGTGCTCCTTTTGCATATTGACTGTATAAAATCCCGTTTGTCTAGATCTGATACCCAAGGAACCTGCATACTGCCCAAACGTAAAAGTTTGCCTGAAGTACACTATAAGGAAAATGCCCTTATTCTGATTCTTAGCTTGATTTCTAAACTAATTTTTTAAAATAAGCTTTGTGCTTTTGGCAAATATGTCTATTCTAGACCTGCCTTAAAGTTTCTCAGGTTGCTAAAACTATCAGAAAATACCTTGCATATCCTCCTCCTATCTGTACCCCTTGCATCAATGCCACAGCAGGAGAGAGAGTAAGAAGAGGTATTTTTAGCCACCACAAAGTAAGGTTTGACTGACACTGATCATCCTCGACTCTGTG